TGTTCACCTTGGAGGCGACCGGCTACGCTCTGCTGGCGCTGGTCAAGCTGGGGCGCTTGGACGAGGCCGCTGCGCCCTTCAAATGGCTGAACAGCCAGCGGAGGAGGGGGGGCTCTTTCGGCTCCACTCAGGTGAGGGCCGGGGCGATACCGGTGGTCCGGGCTCTGATTGGTCCACCCGCTGAACGGCGTTTCCTTTACCCCGTTTCTATCAATGAGGATGAGCTACAAACAGAAGCTCCACCATGAGAGCGCTGAACTACACCCTGAAACATGAGGAGACAACAAAACTAGAACGGTTCTGACCTTTGAACTGCAACTTCAATGTTTTCATGCAGTCAACCAGAATCTGGGTTTTTCTGCCTTTTTTAACACAGTGAAATATTTTACAGTTGAAGCCACGTAGTTTTCAACGGTGTCTTGCTGTAGGCTGATACTAATATTTATACTTGTATACTTTATATTTGTTTAAGTCTTCAAAAAACTATACAGATGTTTTATTTATTACTTTTATGGATAAATATACCAGTATCATATCGTATTTGTGGTATTGTATCAAATTCCGTTATCGTATCGTAAGTATCGTGTATCGTGATATTTATGTCGTGTATCGTATCAAAGTCATAAATTTGGTAATCAAGTAAATTACACAGCTGACGAATCAGAATCTGAATAAATCGACCGTTGAAATAAAGAAGTGGCCACAATGTACAGAAAGTCACAGCTGTCTAGTAACGTGTGGTGAACGGCTTCTCTTTCCACACCAAGATTGTATCTCAAAGTGAAAGTAATGATCTGAGTTAAATGTCCTTCAAACCCCCTTCTGGGCGCTCTGTCTCCTCCTCAGTCCACCATGGTGGTGCTCCAGGCGCTCTCAGAGTATCTGATAAACAAGCCTCCTCCTGGTGACCTCAGTCTGGATGTGGACGTCCGGTTGACGGGACGCAAGGAAATCCGTTACCATTTCAACCCCCGGACGGCCTACGCGGCTCGCTCCTCCAGGGTGAGAGAGCCTCAACGTGACAAAGGGAAAAGTGGACTCACCCACTCGTTTTTCCACCGCCATTTTGAAGGGCGGCGTCTTTGTTTGTGCAGCCCAAAGGGCGAGCAGAGTACAACTGAGTGACGTCTCATCTGTCAATGCAACGTTCCGGTTAACTTTCATGAAGCGAAGAAACACTGAAAGGTTTAAAGTCGTAAGACAAAAGACAAAAACAAACGAACGGTAGCGACCTGTTAGTCACAGTAAGCCCCGCCCTTAAATACTAATCAGCTGTAACAGTGACAACACGTAATGTGCGTAATGTGTACAGCAAAGGTCACCAAGCCAACTGTGATCTGAAGTCATTCTGTTCAAAACGTCTTCTTCTCCGGTGCTTCTGCTCCGCAGTTGCCGGCTAATCTTGATTTGGAAGTCGAGGCTCGGGGGAACGGAGAGGGGATTCTGGAGGTACGATGACGCAACCACCTTCAATTCAGCAACATTTCGCTTTGATCTTTTACCCAAACATGATTCAAAAGTTGAGTCAATGATGACCAACATTTAAAACATCGCACAGAAATATAGAACTTTTCTTCTCAGTGGTTAATTTTGCATGTGTTGTCACTTCCTGTCACTTTGACCTCAGGTTGTGACCTTTTACAACCAGCTGCACGAGGTGGACGATAGGACGTCCTGCAAGGACTTTGAGCTCCTCGTCACTATTGAAGAATCCAGCGGTAAAAGGCTCATAATTTTACAATTCATAATTTATCATTTTCTCTTTTAGTACCACAAAGGCATTATAACATTTTAACAAAGTGGAAAACAGTCCAGATTGTTACATTTCCTTGATATACTAGAAACTTGCAGCATTAATCATGACCTAATAACACAAACATGGTTAAAACCCTAATTTATGGAAAACTAAGCAAAAAATTACGTCAAAAGTGGACATTTTATCAGGATCCATAATGTGCTTTACAAACACACAACATGTAAGATAGTATTATTGACAAATAGATTTTAGTACATTTTATTTATGGTACTTTTTATAATAATGTAAATATTTAAAGAGGCAAAACAACAAAATATGAGTCGATGTACAAAATAATAAAAGAAAAGAAAAACACAATTCAACACAAACTGGACATTTGAAATGATTTGTTGTATTAAATCATTTTTTATAAGAATAACACACTGTGGCACAACTGAACGTCGTACAGAATCGCCCACATTTAATCAGCAGCCAAACGTCAGCACAGTGAGAAGCGCTTATTTTCTGTCTCACTACAGAAACGCCTCCAGCTGATGTGGAGAAATCCTACCAGATGAGCATCAGAGTGAGGTGAGACACGTCCTCGTCCTTTGTGTCTTTGGGTGGAAAGCTGCTGCGCCGTGTTTGCTCAGTGCTGCTCCCTCTCCTCCCCACAGGGCTTTGGGACCCACAGATGTGCGGATGGTGGTCCTGGACATCAGCCTGCCGACCGGCTTCAGCCCAGAGACCTCCGACCTGGAGAAGGTGACCAGCCTCTACTGACGGATCAACAGTAGAAAAGGGATTTTCATTTCCTTAAACGTGTCTGAAGTTATTGTCTATCGCAGGAAGAGGTTACATGATGATGAATGATGAAGTAATTACGTATTCATGTACAATACTATAAACTATTTGTCAGTGTCGACATCGTCAGAAGAGCAATACTGTTTTTTGGTTTCGCTTCAATCCAAACGTGCTTCTGAGGAGACTTCTAGTGTCTGTGAGGAGATAAGATCAGACCATTACAGCCCTGCAGGTTCAATGGACACAAAACACACAAGTTATTCACAAAATGACCCGTTTGTTCGTCTCCCCGACAGAAAAGAAGCCGACTTCCCGTCCGATCCTTTCAGGTTAAGTCCTAACTGATTCGTTTGTTTGTCTTCGTCCAGCTTTCAAACTCAGTGGACCGTTACATCAACCACTTCCAGGTTGTCGATAACCTGAGTGACCGAGGCTCTCTGATCATCCACCTGTTCAAGGTAAAACATCACGTGCTGACGTTTTCCCCCAATGAGAACAAAGCATCTACTATCTATTCCCAACCAGCAGGTACCTCGATAGGACCCGCCCCTTTTTGCTTCCTGTGTCGCTGTGCTAAATTGTCCTCCCCGTTGTCCCCCAGGTGTCTCACAAAGAGCCAGAGGTCCTGATCTTCAGGCTGCAGCAGCGCTTCAGAGTGGGCCTCCTGCAGCCGTCCTCGGTCACCGTGTACGAGTATTACAACCCAGGTAGGACCGACCCCCTCCCATCGGGGGGAACCCACCTGAGGCCAGGTGAAAGGTGGTGACAGGTGTGCTCCTCCTCCTCTCAGATCACCGCTGCAGTCACACCTACACCCCCAGGGAGGACCGAGAGGAGCTCTCTCAGATCTGCAGGAACGACGCCTGCCGCTGCGCGCAGGGTAGAAGCTCACAGTCTGCGGCGCTGCGTCAGTGGACGTGTCTCCACTCGTAGTTCTTCTCAATGGCTGCTGATTCTTCCCTCTGCTCGCCATCTGCAGGCGACTGCTGCGTCTCCAGGAGCGACAGTGAGAACGTGCCCCACCAAGAAAGAGAGACGTTTGCCTGCAAGACTTTGCACCACGGTACCAAACACACAAGCACACACACACACGCACACAAGCACACACACACACAGCTGAGGTTTGAGTGTAAATGTTCAATATGAGTCGATAGTGTCACTTTCTGGAATGCATCTGTACGGCTGTGTATCTGTTTTAGGTTTTTTCTTAACATGAGGATAAAGAAACGTTCCATTAGACTTAGTTAATAATTCTGAAGTTTCCTCAGAACTGTGTCTTTAAACTAATATCACAATCCCTTCATTCAATAGAATATGCATGTGTATGTATTTGCATCAAACATTCATATATGATTAAACATGACAACGGATTCTCACCTTTGGTATAAATTAAGATACTTATTAATTAAAATACTAATATCTGAGTTTGAGTAATGAGGATGAATCTAGCTCATGTCTAAGGAATCTCAACAGGCATTATAACATTTTAAAATGGATCTATTTGAGTTAAAGGAGGAAAGTTAGACTGTAGAAATACTCAAAAGAGGAAATTCTGCATTTGAACTGGAAGTGAAAACAATTTGTGAATTTCACAACGGGACCAGTAAAGGTTGATATTTACCATAACAATATAATCAACGGATGTATTTGTTAATTATTAGGGCCATTAACGCGTTAATCTATGCGATTAATGTGACTGAGATTAATGCGATAAATACCTTAATGCAGTTAATGCATCTTTCTTCACTTCTGGTCTTCCAGTAAAAAATAGGCTACTAAACAACCTCCTGCAGGGGGTCAAACAGACCACTTTATGCATCGCTAGGCTAAGCTAGATGCTAAGCTAAACTAGCTGCTAAACTACTTCCATCTCAACATCGACCCTGCAGACGACCACCACTGTGTCTAAAAGAACAAAAAACTTAAACTGCGATTAATTAGTCTATTTTTAATCTATTGACAGACCTATTAATTACATTTTGTAGGTCATTAGCTGAACAAATTAAGACTCCTCCTCTCATCACGTGATTCATTTGACCTCCAGCGGTTTATTTGTGCTTCAGTTTTCAAGGTGAAGGTGCTGAACGTCAGCCAGAGTTACTACGACAAATACGAGATGGAGATCACACAAGTTATCAAACTGGGTGAGTCAATGTCTGTGTGTCTTTGAGGAGCATCAGCTCTTCTTCTGTTACATAAAGCATCGCTCATTGTTATTTAATGACTTGTTTATTACCAGGAGACTTTTAAGTAAAAGACCTCGTAATGATGAACAAAGAACTTTTTAGGATGTTTTTAAAACACCAGACTCACACTTATATTTATAGCTCTTTTATTTGGTGGATATAAGAAGCTGTGTGTATCTTGTGAATGTGAAGGCATAGAGGCAGGAGTTGAAGTGGGCCAGAGGAGGCTTTTCATGTCTCATGGAGGCTGCAGAGACGGACTGGTCCTGAACCAGGGCTCCCAGTACCTCATCATGGGGCCCACAGAGGACCAGTGGAACGCTGACGCTGACACCGGCAGGTAGGACGAGGAATGACGTGGACGTCCAGGGCTTTATTTCTACTCTACGTGCATATTTCAGGAGCCTCGTCTCCCTCCAAAGGACGTCCTCGCCATAAAAGTCATGATGGCGGCTCGATTTAGGACTCATGAGAGTAAAAAACTGTTCCTGGAACACTTGTTTGTACCCGAGTGGTTGAATCAGTGTCAACGGGTCCTGTGGGGGTCTGAGATGTTGGTGGGGACATATTGTGGAATCCCACCTTCAGACAGGGAGCTTCTGTCAGGCGGATAGAAGCTAAATAAAAAAAACCATTTGCTCTCACGGACTGAATGTGAAGGTGGATTTACTTGTCGCTGAAGTGGCAGCCATGTTTGTTTGTTACGGACGTCTTTCTCACAGAAGCGTTAAAGCCGACCTACAGAGTTTAACCTCCTGTCTCTGTCCACCAGGTCCGTCTACGTGTTGGGGAAGGACACCTGGGTGGAGCGCTGGCCGTCGCCCACAGAGTGCTCCAGCACTGACGGCCTGTCAGATAAATGCCGGAGCCTGAAGGATGCGGCGACCGAGCTGTCCGTCAACGGCTGCCGGCTGTAGAGCCGCTTTAGTTCTTTCTCTTTGCAGAAGGATTCAATGCAAATACAGTCAAAGTGTCCAAAAGCCTTTCAGAGACACGTTACGTCCTTGTTACCTGTGAAGGTCAAACCAGCAGCTGCTGAAACAACCATTCATCCATTTAGACGACCAGGAAACAGCTAAAAGAGAAAATAAATGAATAAACACCTCAATGTGTCTATTTGATGTTTTCTTTCCACCTTCTGAAGGTTTGGTCTCTTTACCAGTGCATGAAAACAACGTTCTGCCTGACGCCTCTCTGCTAAAGTTATTATAACTAATAAATATTAACCAGTAATAAACTCAAACCAGTTTGAAGCGCAGAAAGTAAAAAACAAACAAACAAACCCGTATTGTGTAAAAAACCCAAACTGTGAAACATTCTGATGATGATATATTTATAATATTATTTATTTAAGAAGCTAATTCAGAACGTTTTAGTTTTCAGGAGCTTTTAATCAAATGATAAAAACAACAAACAATATCAGTGACAGTAGTTATTTCTTCTGACTTACTTTGAACATGACACTTCATGTCATATTATACATGTTTTTATTATTAACGCTGAGTTAATGTATTATTGTGTAACATTGTCTCATCTGACCTTTAATGTTGAAGGTGAAACATAAATCTTACTCGAATATTTGAAAATGTTCTGTGGATCTTTTGAATATGAAGAAGTCTGAGCCCATTTGATAAAAAGTGGGAATAATTATTGTCATAAGCATGAAAACACATTTTCTCATAGACGTCTACGGGACCAGAGGAATCAAACTTACATAGAAAAAAATGTTGGCGCTCACAGCTCTTTGCATTGAAACATTTGTTATTCTTTACAGATACATGAAGCTCATATTGGTTTAAAAAATATCCTGTAGCTTGTTTAAAATGCACATTTTGCTAAAAAACAAATATAAGAAGAATCATCCACAGCTCCTTCACATCTCCGTCAGTGAAAGAACCGTAAACTCACTAAATGAATCATTAACACGTTTAAACAGCAATAAAACAGTGATGATAAAAGCAGAGACGGATCCATATTCAGTAAAGATTGTCACTCGCTGCCTTCATCAAAGTGGATACATGTGGACGGCACCATCTCCATTTTCTCCTCTTCCTTCACTTCCTCCTCTTCCTTCACTTCCTTCACTTCCTCCTCTTCCTTCACTTCCTCCTCTTCCTTCACTTCCTTCTCTACCTTCAATTCCTCCACTTCCTCCACTTCCTCCTCTTCCTTCACTTCCTTCTCTTTCTTCAATTCCTCTTCCTCCTCGTCCTTCCATTGGTGTCCCCCGTTGGTCAGTAGGATCTGCATCAAAGAAGAAGAAGTACTTATTGGATAGTATTGTTGGACTGAAGTACAAAGGACCAGATAGTAGAATCTCTACAGGCTTCTTCTCTAATGACTACTTTGGGCCCTACAGGTTCTCATGGAGGTCTCATGTGTTTAATGGTTGTAATTAAGGTCATTGAGGTTAATGAAGTTCCATCTACAAACTGTCATCGTGTGTCTGTGGATACTGTGCACGCTGTGTACAAGAAGGACACGCACACAGATTCATTAAGGACATTAAGTACAACCAGAGTGTACGTGGATATAGTTTGACCTTTTGGAGACAAACAGGATTAATATTTAAGTTATTCATGATATGATGAAGGTTCTAACAGGCCTCCACACTGAGCTCTTCCTCCTCACCTCAGTGTCGTCTCTGGTCTTTGTTCAGGCCGTTCTAGGAACATTCTTCTCCTCCTGCACAGAAGAATGAATGAAAAAACAAATCAATGATCAAATCAAGTGATTCAACGACTGTGTGAATGTAAGATCCACATCTGCATTTCATCACAGTGAAGCTGAACCGCTCACCTGATGTAGAGGACAGCGAGGATGATGATGAGTATGATGATGATCAGCAGGGAAACAGCAGATATGGATGCAAAAACAGTTGTTGTTGTTGACCATTTTCCTACACGGGAAAGAAAGCAAACAACAACAAATATAAACTATTAAATATGGAGGGTGGAGGATGAATTAGTGACAAAAATAAGATGTTTAACTCAGTGAAACAGAATATCCGGCCATCTTGGGTCGGTCAGCTGGCTCACCCATAACATTGTGTTGGTAGTAAAACATGTACTTATATGAATAATTATTATATATATAATACAAAAATGATGTTACGTTCTAACAAATAGAATAATGTTCTAAAATAGGTACCAGATGCATGTTGAAATCCGCTCCCTGCACACAGATGTAGTTATGACACTGCGTACTTATGAATAATTGTAACCACGGGTTTTCATACGGAAATGATATTAAACAGAACATTATTCATACGTGTGCAGTGTCATAACTACATCTCTGATGTTTATAACAAACCAAAGACATCTAGCCTTTATATATAATATCTATGGCTGCACAGACGTCCTCTTTGTCCCCAAGTTAGCGACAGAAGAGTCACAAAGCGACAACCAAGCAGCTCAGGAAGAGAATCCAGCGCTGAAGAAAAGCTCATGTCCAATGTGAGACTTGTATGTTAATGACATGTGGTGCAATTAAGAACTCACTCTCTTGAGCTCTACATGTTGAAAGCAAGTATTCGTTTGTGTTTGTGCGTGTGAACGTGATTGTGTGGTGATGTAAACGGTCACAACAAGCAGCAGGAGAGCAACTTGTAAACCTCGAGGTGTCCTGAATGCTCCAAACATCACGCCGTTGTTTATTTAGGCTGCTCACATGTAACATTCATCTTTTTATTAACAGGACAAAGAAAAGGACTTTTCCCAACAGGGACCTCAGAAAATGTATAGCATGCCGCACCATGACATTGTGACTGCATACAAAGGTCACACATGACTATATGAACATCTATTTATTGAACTTTAACAAAACTGCAAAGTGCAAATGTAAAACAAATCTCTCTTCTGGCATTTAGTCCAGCGCTTCTTTAATGTGTCTGGTCCATTTATTAAAGCAATGATGATAACAAAATTCTAAATAATCAATTCTTTTATACGGCCACATATTAAAAGAAGAGATGCAGATGTCATGTGCTGTAAACAAAGCAACTAGTGGAGGCGGCAAGGTGCTCAGTGTTGCCACATTGGAAATGGTCAAGTATCGTACCAAAGGCTCAAAATGGTCGTATGTGGAGGATAATTATCGTGTATCTGGCAACATGGCGATCGGTCGACCAATGACTGTTCTCTCTACAGTCAGAGCTCGCGCAGGAAGGTGGAGCGTAAGGGAGACACCATTTACACCACTTGTGAGGGCGGAATAACTAGTTTGTGAAAGACTCAGAAACACAAATATCCGACGAAGCAAAATCCCGGACACATTATTTAGGTCTCAGAAAGAGGACGTCTGGTCACCCTGTGAGTCACTTCTTTAGCTGGATTGATGATGTAATGTGTGAAGGAACAGAAGAATGAGTGTGATTTACCTGAAGAAGTAATCAGACGTAAGGTGGAGATACTACGTCCCATCTCGTTCTGGGCTTCACAGTAATAATTCCCACTGTGTTCAGCTGTGAAGTCAGTGATGGTGAAGTTCTGTCCTGATGCTCGTGGTGAGTCTTCATGCTCCTTGTACCAGGTGTAGTTAGCTGCTGGGTTAGCATCAGCGCTACAGGTCAGAGTCACTGAATCGCCTCCAGCATCTCAGCAGAGGACTCGCTGACACAGAGAGACGCTGTGGACCATCTGGAGGAGACGTGAATAAACATACTAAGAGGTTAGAAGATGTTAGCGTAGATAGTTGATCATTTGAATGAATACTTGTGTGTCTTTCTCTCAGACTATCTCTAGTATTCATCACAGCAGCTGTCACAGGTGAGACTCCTGCTGGTGTAAAGTGACAATAAGCAGCCTTTAATCCTTTGTAATGTTCATATCTCCACACATTCTTCTCTTTAGATGCTGCTTGTGTCCTTAGCTGAGTCTGTCCTCTCACTTCTAGTTGTTGTAGGAGTTATTGATTGTTTCCTCCACCAGCTGACACGTCACTTCTACTTATGTTCTGGAATAATTCACTTGAGTCTTTATGAAAATCACATTATTCTGTCTGCTGATGGTTTATATTTGTGTTTCTATTAATAAGAGAATGACATAAATAAAGATCTGTGTCTCCTTTAACATTTAGACTCCAGTGTGTTTACAGCTGTGATTAGAATCATATTGTTGTGTCAGTGTGTGAGTGACTCTTCTACACGTAGACTGCAGGGGCCGGGGATTGAACCAGCAACCCTCTGGTCAGTGGACCACGGCTCCACCTCCTGAGGAACGTTGTGCTTCATCTTTTTGATGCCTCTAGTTTACATGCAGCGGTCTGGTGCCTCCATGTGAGATGTTGGTGAAGCTCCACAGGCCGACACAGTGGAGTGAACTTACACACTGCAGGACCACCGTGACCATGAGATCCAATTAAATAACAGGAATATTTGTCTGTAGAACCAGAGGAGACTAGAAGAGAAGATCC